AACGATTCTTTCTAAAAGGGATGTTTGGATTAGGATTCGTTATATTGAACTACAATTTTAGAATATATACATCGGCTCCTAATCAAATTCGAGCACTCTTAATCTTTATTTTTAACAAGAAAAAATATAGAAAAAATAAATTTCGGAATTTCTCTGAAGAACATTCCTAATACGGAATTATTTCGTTATATTAATGCAAAAAACAGAGGAACTCATACAATGGATGATATGGAGAGCTTACTTTTCCCTTCAACGGAATGACTTACAAAACAAAAACAAACATGAGGTTTACGGTTTTAACAGTAAAAAAGCAGCACCGTTTATTCATAGTTTGTCTGGTTTTGAAAATGACCTATTGGAAATAATAAATAACATAAATTTCCATGAAAAGAAATGCTACTTCCAAAAACGCCTGGATAAAATAGTATTTTATTTTACAATGAACACCATCACTTGACAGTATACCAGAACTATTGCTGTTATAACATACTTATGTCATAATTTTCAAATAAATATTATATATATATATATATATATATATATATATATATATATATATATATATATATATATATATATTCTAATGAATTAATAGATTTATTTCTTATTAGTATAAACATTATTTTATTTTTTAGTGGGTATATGTTTGAGAAAATACCCTGTTTTGTTGTTGCTGTTGTTTTTTTTTTCTTTTTTTTAACCCTTTGGATTTCGCCTATTGACGTGCACATCTGAAAGACTTAATAACAAAATATTGCGTCCCACTTTGTAGAGGAAACCATTGTTTGATCCAGAGTGCTTTAGATGACTCGTTCTCAGGGAACTTCACACACCAGCAAAGTTCAATCACCTTTCTAAAAATGCATACCCTCTGGCGCAGCTCTTCTCGAAGGTACATATCTGATGATTTCTTATTTTTGTTTTGTATCTTTTGTATTTATGTATTATGACACGGAAACAAAATAATAAGTGTGTGCACCATATATGTCTATTTTCATTTTTCTGGATATATCTGGCCTTATGGGTGACTGATTTTTTTCTCTGCCTTTTTTAAATATTTTTATTCGCTCCCTCAGTCTGCTTATTATTAAACTAATTTATTTAATATAGAATGTAAAGTCAACCAACAGTGCAGATCAAAACTTCTTGCGCCAGAAGTAAACTTGACTGTCAAGACACATGATCATTCAAAGAATCTTTCGTATTCGTTCTCTTTCATAAAATGTGTCTTGCAATCATTTAAAAATATGTAAACGTTGTGTACACATTTAGCGAATATTATGAACATGTAGTGAATTAATTAACTAATGTCGCGGTTACAACCACAAAATAAGCAATAAACTAAAGTCTCAAAAGATTAGAGTCAATAAACAGTTTCGACCTCCTCACGTTGAAGACTCAGCTAGATGACTTAGGTGTGATGTAATAATAGATACAGGGGGTAGTGTAGTTGTGGCAACAATCTAAAATAGAAAAGATTCATTCAGTACTGGTGGTGCTACGAAATGATTGTTGTGACCAGAAAAACAGGGCACATACTCTCTCTGAATTGACAATTGTACGGGGTTTTTTCTTGGGTGTATACTCGAAATATGTGAATTCAGAAAAGATTTCATTGGTACAAGAAAACTACAGGTGCATAAGTTGATGCAAGAACCAAACTATAAGGTGGTAACTTATAAGGATTGTAACCGGCTAATGGAAAATCACATCCAAATTCATTTGTATTGGCACTCAATTTATCAGCAAATGTAACACAGCGTACGTCGCATTCCATGGGGTTTCGTTGTCGTTTGCCATCAGTTACTGCACCTCAACAGAGCCAGAGATCGTGGAAGATTGGCGCCATTTCACCCGGTCAGACGAATAAAGTTTTTGACATCAGAAATTCGAATTCGTGTTTAGAGGTGACGTTATTAGGTTTTTGACTCTGATGATTTTGAAGGTTTTGTTTCGAATAAAATGGAATTAATGACACAGAAGGAGAGTAGATAAAATTACAAAATAGAAGAAATGAAGTACAAAGAAATAATAGTGTAAAAAACAATACTCTGCTCGTCTGATCTTGTCCATCAATTTCAGGAATGGGGATTTTTTGATGGAATTATAGTCTGTTTCTCCAGGAGAGAGAAGGAATGGAAGAACTTGAAGTTTCACTCGATTAAGTGACTGAGATACATATAGATATTTATGTAGATTATTAGGCCGCATATTAAGGCCATTGTTACTACGGAATTTACAAAGATACGAATGCTTTTAAATATTTATCAAACGTTTTAATATATTCACTCAGTCTCGAACATGTACCGATTTATACAATTACTTTAAAGCTAATAATTTTTACTAGATGAGCCACATCATCTATCACCTGATGTGTAGAATGTGATGGTGTGTGCGTGTGTGTGTGTGCGTGTGTGTGTGTGTGTGTGTGTGTGTGTGTGTGTGTAGCGAACCTTTATCAATACGTATGAGATTCAGCACGTGCACAGTAACATAGACGTGTACTCCAAATACTCACTTTACTCTAGACGTTTGCAATTATCATCATTTTTGAAATTGTTTTTTTCTATAAATGTTGGAGTCATGAAATACGCGCGTATTTCATAGATAATTCCTCTTTTTATTTTGTTTGATTATCGCTTTTTCTTTTTGATTTCCTTTCTACATCAGCAAAGGCAGTAGCAGTGCAAGGAAACACGGCAGACAAGATGTGAATCATTTCTCTGTACACTGGTTGCCATAGAGAAGTGCATTTTACCTTTACGCATCTTGCATCGATTTTTCATCTAAGCTCGCATATCTTCGATTGCTTAGACTGGACCAAGGCTTCAGCACGTGTTTCATTTTTATTTATTGGATTTCTTGGGTTAGACTAAGTCTGGCACAAGGCTAAATTATTTACCACTGAAAGTAAAACCTCAGTGCACACCATGCAAATCTAAACGCATATAAAATAATCTTCTGTTTGTACATCGGTACATGCATTACCATATTGACCATTATGACGAAATACATGTGTGTGGGAGTGCATTTATATCTACATGTTGAATAAAGGAATTTATTTATGTACCTATGTATGCGTAATTACATCAGTATGTGCACACAAGAATGACAGCAATTGCAGATCGACATGTGTGAATGTATGTGTAAATAAACGTTTTATACCAAATGTTTGAATATAATATATACGTGTATTTACCGATAACGGAATAAAAGCATTAAAATTAAGAACTTAAATAGAATATACACACGTGCACTTGTCGATACACAAAAGATCGCGTATTATCAAAATATAGAATTATAAATCTCACATAGTGACGATAGACAAGTGGGGCTAAATTGAGGAGAGGGCGACTGAAAAGATCACCACTTCTCAAAATCTAATTCAAAGAAAAAGAAAAATATCAAAATTGTTTTGAAAGGGATTTTTGGTTGGACCTTAATATTTTTAGGACTAACTTGTGTGTCTGTGCGTACGTGTATGTGTGCGAGTGTTCATATGTGTACACGCGAAGGGAGCATGTACTATATATATATATATATATATATATATAGAGAGAGAGAGAGAGAGAGAGAGATTGAATATGCAGAAAAGAATGGTCCGTGCATTGTGATGTTGTTTGTTGCCAAGTGCTGCACGAATGGAATGCATTAAATGGTCACATATATAAATGTGCACTTATTTCCATATTTATCTTTACGCAACTGAGAAGTAAAAATGTAATTGCACAGACGTGTAAATTTGATGTGATAAATGTAATAAGTAGCGATTAGATGTAAATCTTTTCAACTTAAATTTACCGATGCAGCCGATGCTTTTTCTTTGCTTCCTGCATGTCGACTTGCACACTCCAACCAAAAATATCTAAAGTAACTTAACAACTTGTTACAATGAATTCAATTTGCATTGATGCAATTTACTACTCTACGAGCTGTGTTGAAATGTTCTCGGCCCAAGCAAGAAGTGATTTTAAAAAAAATATGTTAGGTAAGCTTTTAAAAGTGCATCGGACCGAAAACATTTCATCACTTCTGTGTGAGTGTGTGTGTGCGCGAATGTGTATATGCGTGTATGTATGTGTTCGTGTGCATGTGTGTGTGTGTATGTAGGTGGGTGTTGAAGTCATTATGTTCTCCCTGATGTATGTGTTTGTACTCTTTTAAATACAACTACGTGCTTTTATATATATATATATATATATATATATATATATATATATATATATATATATATATATATATATTGTGTGCATATATTTCGATCTTTTGTATTATATAACTTCGTGAAACATACTAATTGATGTCGCTAATCATTTATTTTTTCGATGTCTATGCTGACTTGTAACCATATCCAGTTTATGTGCATGATGCATGATTCACTCCCGATTAAATAAATATGGTAGCCTCAATAGATTAAAAGCAAAAACTGTTCGGAGCTCAACTATGATGTCACTTGAAATAGAAATCTCTGTGACTCATCAAGACTAGAATAAACACAAAATGCCGGCATTCACCTTATATGCATTCCGGTGAAAAATGGTGATGGAATTATGCTCTTCATGTAATCATTTGATTTACCTGATTAGGCTAAATATTTTAGAGTTTGATTCTAATCTAACTTATAAACAATAATTTTCCCATTCTAATTTTCAACAAAACAGGAACTGGTGCTCGAGAATCTACCAACCATCGAATTATTAATATATTCATATTATTGTAAAATATGCAATACGCATGTATTCACTATATTTATCAATCCGTCTCCTTGTTAGAATGTGAGTATGAGTCAGTGGGGGGAAGCAAAGTATGTAAATCTATTTCCATCTGATCATTTCGATCTGCGAATTGTATTGAGATGGAGTAATGATCAACTTTGTTCAGTGAGAAGTTTGCATCAACAATTCCTACTCTCTAAATAACTTTTTCCTATGAAAACCTCTTGAGTTGTTTATTTTTGGTACTTGTCTTTGTTAGTATACTTAGTTCATATCTCTCATTACTCGAGCTGCAATATTATCCGATTTCCAGTTTTTCCTTTCAATGTTCATACACCCACTCTGGTGGATAGATAGATAGATAGATAGATAGATAGATAGATAGATAGATAGATAGATAGATATGAATCTTTTCATTAGTGTTTGTTCTTTGAAAATAAATGAAATTTTTTCTATTTCTTTTTAGCTGTATGTCGATGTGATTTCATGTCTATGTGATTTCATAGACTTGTATGAGTTCTAGCGAGTAATTACTTTCTTTTAAATTCTTATTCATTTATTCTTCATTTGAAACCCGTATACCATATTCCTGTGTGTCTGCAAAAGACGATATGCCTACATATATCTATGTGATGTTATTTGTATCAGATCACCCGTTCTTTCTTATTTTATTTTTTTTCTTGTGCGGGTGTGATCACAAGCCTGTCGTTGAAATTTCCCCGGCACGTTTTCCGACTTTAAAGTGTTCATGTAAAAATGTATATCTACTTGCGATATTTCTTTCTATGCTTATCTGTAAACTAACAATCTGAGACATTAATTCATAGTAAAACAAAAGAAAAAAAACAAGAAAGCAAGAAAGTAAGAAGGAAAGTAAGAAAGAGAGAGAGAGAGAGGGAGAGAGAGAGAGGGAGAGAGAAAGAGCGAGATATTGTCGAATTAGTTTTTGATTCCTTCTAATCTATTCTATTCATTTCTGAAGTCACTCTTTTTATCTGCCCTTTGATTGAAGTTGCAAGATGGCCAAGCAGTCTTTCACATAACTTTCTTTTATCAATCACTACACAGTGGACGTGACTCAGTCAGTTCTGGTACAGGATCAAGTATTTTTTAAGCTTATATCTTTCAACAGGAAAAACGCTTGCTATGAAAACCGGTACCCAGATTTGGTATTTTACATGATTCTGAAAGGCACAACTGCTCACACAGAGGTATTCACGCAGGGAATTAATTTGGGGACTTAACTGTCCGTTTCATCTCATGGGCTCGAGTATCAAACACATTACGTATGCCAACCTTTCTGCGTAAAACTTCAGAACATTATTTATCGCTGTGTTGTGATATTGTTTTTACCATGCAGTTTACGATTTAAAATTTCCCACTCATAGAACAGGTTATGCGTCTCATTTTGAAAGCAGATATTTTTCTTGTTTAAATTAAATTTAAACCGGAATCAATATTTCTTAAGCTGGAACTCCAGTTGGTTGACTTTCGATTGTGTCAATTATGCAATTATATTTCCCAAGAAGCACCTTACTCTCGTGGCCATACAATGTTCATTTCAGAGAAAGCAAAAAAGTCTAGTATGAACCTTTAGGTAGTGCATGGAAGGTGAATATAAGGAAATTATTCGGAAGATTCTAGAGCATCAAAATCCTGTCACTAACATAAACTTCAATAATCCAAACTTTGCTTTTTATCAGGTTTTTTGTCATCGATTATTCTCATTGATTTTCAATGTAATGTCTGCAAATGTATGATAATTTGACACCGGAAACAGAATCATCTTCGTATTTTTTTCACTTAAAATCGAAATGATAATTCACTTGTATGAAAATATGAATTTTGTTAATTTTTCCTGAAGAAAAAGGTTTTGAGTTGGAATCTCATCGAATATATTTTATTTCCTGTCTGCATTGTTTGCTAAAGTGCGCAGAGTGACAGTTTTTATTTGTGTAAAAAGTCAATTGAAATTAGGATGAACAAAAAAAACATTATTAACTAACACTGAATAATCATTGAACAAGGTAACACATTTTTTTTAATGAAGTGGTTGGTATCTTCGAATTTGTTGGAGAGGCGTTTCGAAATCTAACGGCTATTTCGTTTTTATGTATTTATTTGTTTTCAACTGCTTAACATTTAGATGTTTTTAACAGCATAAATATTTAAAAAATAGTTTTATATATATTCGGCGATTCTTTTTCTGTTATTTATTATATATTTTTAATTATTTATTAGATTAGACATAAACCCGTCGATTCCCTTTTAAAAGCAAAATGAGGAGGTAACTATATTAACAATTTTATTATTAATTACACATATTTTAATTTGTATTTGCAATCTGCTATTATAATAATTATTATTACTAATATTATACAATATTACTTAGATCAAATTGCAATAAGTAATTGATAAGAAAAAGTTTTGTGTTTTAGAATGGAATTTCAAACTGATATCACACTAAAGGCCTTTTAACTAATACCAGCTCCAGAGTGATAATTCATACTAATTTTACTATTTACCATATTAGTTTCAAATGTCATTCAAAAAACAAGCAATCAGCAATTGCCTGCTTAGTGAGATTCATATTTATTGAAATAATGTAAAGTATGGATGCCTTCTTTTTGGGCACTTAGTTTTCATTTTTTTTCTACGTATTTTTCAAAATAATAATTATATTTTTTATTATACATAATTTTTTCTTTCTTACATTCATTCCCAAATACGTAACGGCGGTAAACTAGCACGCATCTATTTACTTATTTCGGATCAAGTCATATAACACAATTTTCCCGCCATACTAATTACATTTTACAATGACACATCCACATAGCCTTTTCACCTAGCAAGTAGTTGCCAAACATCCGTGATATATGTTTATAAGAAAGATCTAACGTAGTGAATTGTATAATTATATGTTGCGTTATGTATATTTAAATTTATTTAATGTTATTATAATGTATCATGAATGTTTATTAATTTTCATACGCATAATATTTGGAATATAATGCAAGTGTCTGTTTATATGCACGGAATGTGTATCGAAAATAGTGAATTTCCTATTAAATATGCCGTAAAAACAGAAAAATGTCCCTAACTCAAGAACCCCTTGTCTAATTTTTCATGAAATTTGAGTTTCAAAGTACAATATGCTCCAAAATTGGTTGAGATATTATGTATCGTTTAAGCTGTATCTTGGGAACAAGTATACATACATACAAAATTAGAGTTTTAGTATTATATAGATTGTTAATTTCTATTATATATCATTTAAACTTATTTTATTATGGTGATAGTAATTGCTATATTTGACAGCGATCCGGTTGCTTCGACGTCTAGTGTAAAAAAAAGAAGATAGGATTGAGGTGGGGGCTCCTTAGCCGTAGTGAATTCAATCCATCTAAGAAAATCTCGGAAATAAAAATCAAACCAACCCGGGTAGTGAGAGCCCGTTAACCCTGTAAGGCAATATCCCCTAGTGATGGTGTCACGAAGAAAAACACCATTTTCCTGTGAGTATTATTCTGAATGTCACTCGGGGGCTTGGAGAACTTGGCCCTCACAAGGTATATCGATAGCAAAAGCGGTAGGGGAAGACATCGAGCCAACTACCTGATGAGCTTATAGGAATGGATGGCCAAACGGTGTGAAGGGCAGAAGGCTTAGCAAAAGAAGAAACGTTAAGCGCCACAAAGGATATGAAGCTGTGGAAAACATGATCACTCATGTCCTGAAGAAGCACAGCACATAGAAGAAGTGACCAGTAGCTTAAGTGACAGAAAGTCTCTTTAATACTCGACCACTCTTTTCAGTATCCTCGTCCCTATCTCAATAATGCTCTGTTTCGAACAGTTTCCAGCACACGACTGGTACGACTGTCATATTCATGTCCAATTATTATTATTATTATTATTATTATTTCGACTTTTCATTCTAGTGTGAATTGGTGAACTGGTGAAGGCTTAACGGGATCAAGTTGTCTTCTTAAGTTTTGCGCTAGCTCTCAGTTGTCTACTGCTTACGAAAACTATTGTCATTAATATTCTAGATTCAGCTGTTGCTGTTGTCATGCTAGATATCCTTCAGCCATTTTTTACATCTCTTTCTTATAACTGCTAATTTTTTTAAGAACACTGAATTCTTATTATGTAATAACTAGTTAATCCAATCAAGGCATTCTGTTAAGTCTTAGCTATTGTTTGAACGTTTTCATTTATTTAATATTTAAAGATATGCACATTATTTGAAAACTTTAGCAGTTAAATTAATTTTGGCGCTTATATATATATATATATATATATATATATATATATATATATATATATATGGAGGTAATAGCAATTTTAAATAGAAATTATGGTCAGACTGTGAGCATTGTATTGTATGCGTTGTTTTGTAAAAGATCTCTTTTATGTTCATATAACCTTTTATTTAATTTCCTAGAGGTTTCCTATGTATTCATTGAGGGGAATCATTACATGTGATAGAGTAAATTCCTCCTTCAATTTTTAGATTCTTATTATTCTTTCTATCACTTATTATTTTATTACTTTAGGAGTCGTTGTAACAAATTTTATGTTAACTATAGATAAATTATTTTCAATTTTATATATATATATATATATATATATATATATATATATATATATATATATATATATATATAAGTGTGCTCACCGAGCTTCGATATTCATTAAAATAAAGAGAGAATTATTACTCACGGAAACAAAGTTTTAATATATTCACTGACTCCACTTTCAATTCACAAATTGCGTTGAAAGAATAAGAATCTGTAGTTTTACATGCTAATGAATATGCATTAATGGATATGTCTCCGTACGCACTTATGCTTGCTTGAGGAAATAGAAAATGAATCATTATACTTAATTTAATAATATCAACTAATATGATTTTATTTAAGAATTGTTAGTATTTTTACTGCGTTCTTTCATAATCTTATGCTTTTTGTAAATGTTCCATTCACAGTATCACCAGCACTTTTATGGCCACCAATATTATTTTATCATTGTTAATATTATCATATTTCCTTTTCATGGTCTTCATTTTTGCTGCTGTTATTGCAATTTTTGAAGTATTGCTCTTCATCATTATTATTAGAATTATTTTTATTATTTATACGTGTTTCCATTTAATAAATAGTTTCATTAAAATTAAATAATTATTATTGTTTTTATTTCACTATTATAGCATTCTATGATTTCAGTATTTATTTCTGATATTTATTATTGTTAATGTCTGCCAATGTTTTCATATGCATTTTGCGTATTAACACATTTACCAAAATCTTAACTTATTTTATTTATTATTATTATTTCCTTTTAAGTAATATCGTTTTATTAATGATATAAACTTACTTTTTTGCTGATGCTACTCTAAATAATTACATTTTCACT